ATGTGTGTGTGTGTGTGTGTGTGTGTGTGTGTGTGCGTGCGTGCATGTGTGCGTGCGTGCATGTGAGCATGCGTATGCGTGTGTGTGAGAGAGTTTGTGGGTACATGCGTATGTGTGTGTGTGTGAGAGAGTTTGTGCGTACATGTATGAGAGAGGAAGAGAGAGAAAGAGATTTTGTATGTGTACACTGCTGCTATATATGTGTGTGCATGCATGTGAGTGTGTATGCCCATCATGTGTGAGCATGTGTGTGTTCGTGTGTGTGTGTATGTGTGTGTGTGTACATACGTGTGTGTGTCTGTGTGCATGTGTGAGTGTGTGTGAGTGCATATGTGTGTGCACGTTTGTGTGTACACGCGCACATGTGAGTGTGTGTATGTGTGTGTGTGTGTGTGCGTGCATGTGTGCGCGCACATGTGTGTGTGTGAGCGTGTGCGTGCATGTGTGCAAGCGTATGTGTGTGTGAGAGAGAGTTTGTGTGTACATGTATGAGAGAGGTAGAGAGAGAAAGAAATTTTGTGTGTGTATACACTGCTATACACGTGTGTGCATGCATGTGTGTGTGATGCCCATCATGGGTGAGCATTTGTATGTGATTGTGTAAGTGTTTGTATTGCGTATTGGTGCATGTGATACAATTTTCAATATATTGTTAGCACCACTTACGGTGAGATCTAACTGAGTATTATTTATTCTGAAAAACAAAAACAAAAATATTTCCGTTAAAAAATTTAGAGAGAAAGCTCAAAAGTCTCTGTTTCTTACAAGTACCTACAGTCCATAGTCAGGATAAGAAAGATAACTGTATGCACAGACACATTCAAGTCTTACAATAGTTTTAAAAAGCTGAAGAATGCACACACAAAAATATAAATTTACTTCAGATAAAAACAGTCCGCTACAAGAACCAAAAAAAAGAGAGTACCGTACCAGAGGTCTGTTTTCACATCTCTACAGCATCATTTAAAATAACATCAACAGGTTCTAGTATCCTCTAAGCTAAGAGTTTCACTATCGTATACATTGGGCCTTCAATTTTAGAAAAGGAGCAGCATTATAGGCACGGTGCCCTTTGGAGAAGCGCTTAGGTTCCGTTTCTGGCTGTTTCAGTGTACACTATAAATAGACTTCTTCCTCAAACCAATCACCCAACTCGCGGCCTCGAAAACAAACATTAAACATGTTTGTCCTTGAAGGTCATCAGATCGGTTGTGTTCGGTTTGTGCCATGTTGGTAGCTTTTCTCCCTCCATGGAGGAAGATCTGGCTAACTCTGACGACCAAATTGAACCGAATTGAATTGAACTGATCTTGTCAATCGACACCGGTTATTACAATGCACACTCTGACGGGCCTCACGGGGGCAGAATTCAGGAGAGACATAGACGTGAGACAGCTTATAAATTGAGGAGTATACAGACAGTTGTTCAGAGTAGTAGCATGCAAGCTGGTAACAGGTCATACACCCGAGTTAGTGACTCACAAAAGTTAACTGGACTATAAACATTTATATTGCGATTCATAATATGATAACGATTATGATAGATAAGGATACAAATTCCTTATTTGCAATATTCACATTTTGGCAAACCTCAAGCCTCAATTTTTATCCAAGTCTTGGCAGCCCGACTGTCAGCGTACTGTTTCCTAATTGCCTGCACTCACATTCAGTGGTCTGCTTAATAGGTAGTCTTGATGAGTAGCCCAAGTCTGTAACTGAAGTTAGTACTAACAAAGTTACAAGTTCTTTTCAGTTAAATTAGGAGAGGTTGGGGCAAATTCGACCACTGGGTAACTTTGACCGCCTCAACCTAGGCTTGACTTTTGCGTATCATTTAACCCCTGTGTCGTGGAATTATCAAAGCCCACTTTCATTCGCTGCACATTTGATTCTAGCTAAAAATAAAATCTGAGCTTCCTCGGCTTCCACTTGTTTTTATTTTTAGTCAAAATGCTCCAGAAAGCTCCCATCCAATGTCTGCACTCTTTTGCTGCATACTTTTTGCACATTTAGAGAAAAAAAATTCGGTACTTCACCCATCATGTACTTTTTTTTTTTTAAGCCTCCTTTCTATAGATATAAATTTATCAGTTGTGTGTATAACGAAACTTGGGTATCCTTAGGTTCATATTTCAATCCATATAGAAATATATAATATAGATTATGAATTTAGATGATTTACTTTTAAAATGACGGGGTGAGATTTTGGTGGCTGGTGCACTTTTCGACATGGTGAAACGGGGCAACTTTGACAGGGGGTGGTCCAATTTCGACCTGACTCAGATTCGTTCCACGCCAAGCCAAAATACTGGCTTCATATATATAAGCAGAATCACCTTTCACAAACAATCACATTTCAGGTTCATCTTGTTTGATTATCATTTCTCAAGGGTCGAAATCATTGACCAGTCAGATACAAACTAGCAGAAATTTAGACTTACACTATTCAACTGTCGCAAATTAGGAAGCTTATAAGTGTGTGTGTGTATGTGTGTGTGTGTGTGTGTGTGTGTGTGTGTGTGTGTGTGTGTGTGTGTGTTTGAGAGAGAGTGTGCGTGAGTGTGTGCGTGTGAGTGTGTGTGTGTGTAGTGTGTGTGCATCATGTATGTACGGTATAGTGCATGACTTCATGTGAGGGCACACTCGCAGAGTGAGGGAGAGGAGGTAGCGAGGAAAGAGAAGGGCAGGGGGAGAGAGAGAGAGCACAATAAGTTGAATAAGAACCAATACTGTTGAAGGCCTGCCCCTGTCGAAGTTGCCCACAGCCCCTGTCACAAACCTAGTCGAAGTTGGCCCATACAGGTGGTCGAATTTGTACCAATCCCTGTCGAAGTTGCCCCAAGCGAGGGTACGCCAGAAAATCGCGATTGGTTGAAAATTCGGAAAGCAAATATAGCCTAGAGTATAAAGAACATTTATTAATTAAGAAGTAGAATGGAGCTGCTTTACTGCACTACGAGATTTAGATCAAGACTGTCTTCATTCATAAAGGCGGGAGCAGTATCGGTTAGATCTACTTTTGCCGCTCTACGCGAACCTGTCAAAGAGACGTTCTCCTAACCGTAACCCTAACCCAAACCCTGCCGCTCTACACGAACCTGTCTAAGAGACGTTCTCCTAACCGTAACCCTAACCCAAACCCTACCTCTTGGGGCTCTAGCCTCTTGCCCTCTATTCTACTCTGTCTCATGGCCACCTCTATTCTCACCCGGGGTGAGAATAGTGCAGGCGAGTCTTTTGGCTATTCTCACCCGGTGCGCGT